GCATGTGCTCTAGACGCCATTACTCAAGGAAAATGTGATCATGCAATTGTTGGAGGTGTTAACATCATTCTTCATGATACTGTCACTGAAGTGCTGAAGAACGCTGGAGTGCTGTCAGCAAAGGGGACTTGTCGAGTGTTCGACGCCGGTGCTGACGGCTACGTTCGTTCAGAAGCAGTAGGTTGTATCCTTCTGTCTAGAAACGGTTCAGAAGCTAGGTTTAGGATACGGCACTGGGCTGTAGGGCACAATGGCCACGCTAGTTCCCTCCAGGTGCCCAATGGGACGTCCCAGGAAAGATTAATGCGGTCTTTGAACTCAGGAAAAGTGGACCATGTGGAATGCCATGGAACGGGACCTCCTTAGGCGATCCGATAGAGATTCGAGCGGTTTCGAGGTGCTACGGTGCTGCCACCATCTCCAGTATAAAACACCTTGTTGGCCATGCCGAAGCTGCTTCTGGTATTGTCTCATTGTTGGCCTGTTTGGAACAAATGAAGCACAATTACAGGACGGCACAAAGGTGTTTCGATTGTCCTAATCCTAAGGCTGACTTCGGTGAACTCATAGTTAGCGCAATCGGTGAGGAAGTCTGCGTAGATCGTATGGCAATCAATAACTTTGGATTCAGTGGAACTAACTGTTCGATAGTTGTTGAGAAGTTACCACAGCGGATCACCTCTGGAAGGGCGTGTACTAAGTATTACCTAGCTCCGCTCTCCTCTGCCGATAAGGGTTCTTTGAAAAGGATAGTTGAAGAATTCAAGGCTTACGTCGAGCAATCCGATCAGCTGATCAGTGATATCTGCACGAGACTCCAAAAGGGACGGCCGTCCTACAGATATCGCCATTGTATCCTCTATGACTTCAGAAGACACATCGTTTGGGAAACTGGAGAACCCACGGATGATTCCGAATTTTTCATGCCTCTTCATCTACCCGCTTTGATGGCATTTGCATACGGTCCAGGATTCTCCAACTATGACCAAAATAACTCAGAAGGCTTCACAGGCTTCTTCAAGCAGCTTATTCCCGGTCTGAACCCACAGAAGATGCCAACGCACCCCATGACTCCTTGTCGCTTCCATCAGTTCATCGCAAATTCATACACTGATGGCTATTCCATCAACTGGACCGTGTACAACACTGAAGCACAAAATAAGGACACGCTGTTGCCTCACTACCAGTTCAACAACAGGAAATATTGGCCCTTTGAAAAACAATTCGTCTGCAACTTCCCCACTTCAGCACCTCCTCTGAAGCAGATCTAC